TGAGTTATCCAAAAAATTGCTTTCTGAAGTCATAGCAACGCAACAAATGATTACCATATGGAGCCAACTGCTGCAAATCACCCAAATCGGGCCCACAAACGTAGTGTGTAAAAGTCATAAGACAGCAAGTTAAATAGGCGCAAATATATAATTTTTTTACCTCAGCTCCATTGTAGACAAATGACCTAGCTCAGTGATGATGTAAAACTTTTTTTAATGTGGAAAAGAACTTATGCCAGTTAACAAAATTGACTATTTTCATGAAAAAGCAGTCCAGCCAAACAATAATTAAAAGATGTAGGCTTCAAAGAATCCAGTTATATGAAACGAATATAAACATTGTTGTACTCATTTTTAAGTAACACTCGATAATTTTTTGTAATTTAAGAATTGTGGCTGACAACTTTGATATGAGCATCAAAGCACGTTTACAAACAAAGGGACATGGAAACCAGTCAATTCACTGGACCCATCAGTTTGCTGTTGAAGACTGGGTGAAAACACTGCATACACTTGGGGAAGTACAACCACAGTGCAACCCAAAAGACCTGCCATTATCTCAGCTCTTGCCAAACAAGGACATCCAGGGATCATTCAGACAGGAATGGTCAGTATTAATTGGCCGTGTACTTGTGAAGTACTATCCACCATTTAGCATCTTCAGAGATGTTATTATCGACCATCTGCCACATCCGTTTTTGGAAGACACATCAAAGAAATCAAACATTGCGAGTATTTATAAGTACTCTAAAGGAATATAGAGAGCAATTATGTAATAAATGTCAATATAAAAAGAATCAACAAAGAACATTATTTGTAAAACACAACAATATTCTTTTTTGTGAACTTATTTTTATTGACTTATACTACAGAAGTAGTCCACACATTGTCATTTTATGATGTTGGTAACTACTCATGACTTAAGCTAGTTATTCCCTGGTAGAATATTATTAGGGTCCTATGTATTTCCTTTGCTATGAGTATATTTTTGATGCTTTTTTTCAGAATTCTCATATCAGAGAAAATTGTCCCAAGAAAAACAATGCCCTGACACTCAATTACTTTAAACTTACAGAATTGTCTTGGTCTTGAGTTCTTTAATCCCAACATTGCTGGAGAAATGGCACAGCTAATGATGAAGAACCAGCACCATTATGTGCCACTTACCAATGGAGGATCAAATCAGGCTGAAATTCTGGAGCCCATATTCTTTGATGGTGATGCCTTAACAGAAGAACGTGCCAGAAATGCCCAGTGGATGTTTAAAGATGGTGATTCCAGAATTGACCGTCTTGAAGGCCTTGATGCAGTATACACAGATTGGCAAACCAAGGTTAAACTATATGAAGTAATTTTACAGATTTGTACAGCTATATTAGCTAAATGATTGATGTGCATTAGTAAACTGGATTCAAACTGAGTGTGCTAGCTGAACCACACTATGATCCTTCCCTGATGAGTACTGTTTTGTGTTGAATGACTTGTTTTCTTTTTTAACTTGAGTACAAGACTTTCTTCAGGTCAAGTTCTCCCCAAGAAATTGGAACCACATGTGCTTCCATGAACCGTACTGGGAAAACAAATGCAAAGAAAGGCCCACATGATGAGTACAATGCACTTCGTGACTTCCATGACAGGGAAATCGAAGCACACATTTTGGCATCATTCCTGACCCATATTAGTGCCACAAGCCTAAAAGATCAGGTTGAAGTACTGTAAGTGCGGGGCAGATCCATAAAGTAATACTTCATGGAAAAGGCACTAAAACAAAAGTTGACAAGAGTTTATTGTTGTCCCCTGACTCAACCCTTTCCCCCTCCCCAAGGAAAGATTAATAATTTATTTTAAATCCAAGAAACAGGGGCTGCATGAACCCTTCCGTACCCCTAGAGTTGCCCATGGAGTAGTATGATTGTCTACTGATGTTGATATTCCTAGTGGGAAGTGCAATACCATAGTGTGGGGCTTCCACCACTCCAGTGACTTATGTATTTACCATCTGTGATTCATGCTTCTCTAGGGCAGGTGATATTTTTAGTGGAAAATGCAATATCATAATGCCTTTATATAAATGTATTTTCAGAATTGCCCAGTAGTTTCCGTGATCAGTTTCCAGTGGAATCCTAAACTGCAACTGCCAGAAGACAGTGGCTCAATGCCATCATTGATGAGTACATGACCCAGTTTGTGTTTGATGGAACTGTCAATAGAGACCTTGTTGTAGTTGCTGATGAAGTCGATCGTCTCCACAGCAATGAGAGTAATGGTTACAGATGCAGAGCACCTGGTTGTGAAATGACCTACAAGTCCCATGCATGGAGAGTCCGGTAGGTGGCTAATGGCACAAGGTGCATTTCTAGCTTAATTCAAGGTAATAGATGTTAATAACTTAGTATTTAGAGCTGAGCATTTCAGTTAATTCTAAGAAATTTCCCTTATAGTCATGACTATCTGAACATGAAGGCCTTTGCATGCCAGACACACCACTCCATGAAGAAAAGGATAGTGAAGGGTACTTCAGATGTAGGGCAAGATGTGGCTTAGTGTTCAAGACAAAAGCCTCAATGAACAGGTACAGTAATTCCCCTATCTCATTGGTCGGTAATTATATTTTTCATTTTACCATTTTCTGATTTAAGTGTAACACTCTCCCCCACACCCCCAACAAAAAAACTGATCTTCTCAGTAACGGTCCACTTTACTGTAAAATTCCCATCCATTAACATACATTTGTTGCTCACAAATTGCTTAGTCCATCAATCCACAAATAATAACAATCTTCTAGACTTAACCTTGCATTTTTCAATATTTTAACCTTTTTTTGGCAGACACGTGCAAAAACAGCACCCACAGTTCCACCCCGTGGATGTTGATGAGCCTTCTGACAGCCCTGAAGACAAATCAGAAGATCATCTTTACAACTGCCACAGAGGGAAACTAATCTTTGGGCTGTTTATCTTAGATTTAAATGATGCCATAAGAGAGGGAGATGGGTAGAGGCTCATGAACCTCTACAAGATAGGCCTGCTTTTCTTCAATTTTCATGGCTGCACCAAGTACTTTTACACAACACTGCTTCTTCTTGTCCAGTTGCATGCCATTCTTCCTGAAGGGAAAGCTTTTCGATTAATCTGGAATCACTTTTTCAACAAGCATGGCTGGAAAGGAAGAAACATACCACTTGATCTTCGCCTCGAGCACCTTAATAATTTCCTAAAGGCTTGCCTTAAAGTGCTTGGTGCTAACATGAATGAAAAGAATGCACAAAGGGTTGCACTAAGCCTCGAAACCCTGGAGCATATTCTAGACTCAGTTGACAATGATTGCAATTGGGAAGTTTAGTCCAGAGCACGCTGTGTAAAGAGTCCAGAAGAGACTGTCAGATTTATGAAAACCTTAAACTCATCAAAGCATTCCAACAGACTCCTGGGAGAAAAGGACACCCCTCCTTCACCAATTTTGCTCCAAGTATCCCAGGAAAACTAGATTATAGCAAATTGTATCTGAGCATGGCAGAAAAAATTAATTTCTGGAGCAATATCTATGATTGCTAAATTTATTTATGTTCAAATATAACTCTGTCCACAGAATAAATAAATAAATATATATAGAACAATAACTGGCAATTATTTAACTGATCAGAGCACACTGTAAAATCCCATGTTAAAAGGAAATTTCCCCTGATTATAAGCCCCCCCCTGCCCCCAGAAATAACCCCTTCTATGTGCTAACAAAGATATTATTCCGGATATAATCCCTCCAGGATAAAAGCCCATCTAATGTATAAGCATGGTCCTTTTGCGTTTCTTTACAACATCACAACTGACAAGCAAAAGTTATGAGGTGATAGCTCTAAATGTAATGGTATGTTGGGTTTAATTCGTTTCGGTTTTATTCTGCTCATATGCCTCCCAAAAGCCCTTATGAAGTTATATAAGGCCATAGCCTTAACATAGGATTTTACAGTATAGTACAAAGAAATGCAAACACAAACTAATTTCAGTGCCACAATGGTCTTGCATACCATTTACAAGCTTTTGATTCATATCGTACATGTAGGCAACATTCCTAAAGGTTTTCTAGTTCTTCAACATTTACCCAGTAATCATCTTCAAAACACACAGAGCTGGAATCCTCGAAGTAGTTCTCAATGTCACACAATCTTGTAACCAGTACAAGGTTTGATGTTGAATCGATAGAGGCAGTTATTTGCATCAGTTCTTCAATACCAGGAATGTCGTCGAAGATTTCATGCAAAATTTCCAGAACTACAAAAGCATGCTCTTCAGAAAACAGTGGGAATGAAGCCATGAGGTAGTCCAGTGTAGCAGTGTGCACAGTCACTCACAATTGCTTCAATAAGTTCACTTGAAAATCCATGGGTGCTAACAGGATCAAAAGCTGACAATCCTGTTGAGTCAAACCGCTCCTTAAGACCAATAAGAGCAGATCTAAGAGCCTCTGTCTTCAGGGTATACGTTCCTTTCA